ACCAATCAAAATCGTGAAATTTGATTAATCCCGGATCAGTCCGAAAATCAAAACAAATGATTAAACTCAATTATCTCGAAATAAAATTTATGTAAAAAAGGGCTGTTTTAATAGATAACACCCTATATTATTGGCAAATTATGAGAAATACTAACAGATTCCGTTGGAACAGTAGCGACGCCACTGAGATCGTATTTTTCCGATTTATTTATTTTCCTGCCTACACGTTTAACAATATCTTCTGATACAATTGCAGGTTTGGCACCACTATCTAGTACCAATGCTAGAATTTTTAAGCGTTTAATTTTAACTGGTATAGTTGCAATACTAATTACCAGTTCTTTCTGACAGACAAAATCAATCTCCATAGGATCATTCAATATCTCCTCTTCTCTATCTGATTCAGATATTTCTGGGGCCAGCTCTCGATAATTTATAAAGTCAGATTTTGCAGACTCTTTAGGGGTGACTCTTTGAGTCATAGATAAATTTGTATTATTAATATTGTTTTTAATCATTTCTATAACCTCTGGATCATTAAACATAGCTAGAATAATTTTTCGAATTTGTGAGTCAATAATCGTACCTGATTTCTTTTGTATTTTTTGTGAAGAACGTTGAATCAGAGATTCAAGACTCTGTCTTTTCTTTGAACCAGACTTTTTAGATGGTGATTTTGTAGAGTTGCTCTTATGCTTTACTTTTTTTTTACTTTAGAAAATGAACCTTAACGTCACTTTCAGATTCAGATTTAACTGAAGATTCTCCAGAATCAGATCCAGATTTAGAGCCAGAATCAGATTCATTATTAGAAGTATTAGAATCTGAACCTGATTCAGAACTTGAATCTATAGTAGTGATATTGACCTTACCTTTCTTTTTGAATTTATTTTTAGACCTGCTCTTTTTTTTATTTTTAGGACAATTGCAAGAATTATTTCTAGTTTTATTGCAAATAGAACATCTGTGATATGACTTCACCGCTTTTTTAATAGCTTTGGCTATATGTAATTTTAATTGCTTTTATGTGAGATTGGCAAGTTCTTCATCAGAGTCAACTTCAACTTTCTTTATTACTAGTTTTGGAGGCAAATCGGGCTTGGAGATAGGAACAAATTCTGAAACCCCCCAGTAATCCATTGTACAAATCTATTTATTAATATATCTTGTATTTTTTGATATGTACCAGGAGGTTGTGGTCCATAATAAGGTTAAGGTGTCTGCAATAGTTGTGATGGCTATATTTGCTGAGGAGCTGATTGTGAAGAAATGGATTGGGATTGTGTAGGTATTAGTAATTTAGATGACAATTTATAACTAGACTAGGGTATTTTACTAACTAATCCTAATTTTTCTCTGCTCTTCGTATTTCAATTCGCTCCAAAATTTCAAAAAGATCAGCTAATGGTTGCTTAGTACCAATGCATTCCGCATCATCCTCCAAGTTTGGAGACAAACCTTTTAGAAATTGTCTTTTAATCTGTTGCTCATCAAGATTAAGCATTTTTTCATATTTTAAGAGTTTTGAGTAAAAGTCTCCTATAGGTTCACCCCCCTGAGCTAATGATCTATAAACTAAATTACGCTTTTCACTTATTACTGTAGGATATTCATTTCTGAGCTAATATAATGCTTGACCAATCCGAATATCACCAAATACTATAGGATTAGCATTACCTGCATTAACAGTATTAGCAGGTTTATCCGATAGACATCCTCCAGCTAAGTGCCAATCTTTAGTAAAAGCTTTAGCTAGAATTATAGAAACACCTACGGTTATTGCATTATTACCAGCAGTATTTGCATAGTCATAGGCAATTGAAGGATTTCTAAAGCTATTACTAGTATTCATCTGTGCCATAGTGCGCCCCTGAAGAGCACCCATACCAGCCTGGCTATGATTTGCAAAAATATTGTAAAGTTCCCATTGTTTACCAAGAATTTTTTGATCAAACCATTCTAATGCTCGCCCATGTAGACACCCTCTAAGAATACCAAATGCTTGATCCTGATTGGTAGCTAAATATGACGATAATTGACTAATAAAAATATCAATATCCTCATCATATTCACCTGAAAAATTTGGTAGTGGTAGTG